GCTGGTGCTTAGAAAGAGGGTAGGACGAAAGGTTGGTAACACAGTCAGAGAGAGAGTATTTGGCCCAAGGACTGTTGGAGATCAGGCGTTGAAGTTTGTTGTGTAGTGTGGAGGAGTGGTGGGAAGAGGAGACGTGAGCAGTGTCAAATGCAATTGGAAAAATGATATTGCATAGATCACTGGGAAGAGAAGAGGACAGAAAGCGTTGCTGTTGACGAACAGCAAGAAAAGCCTCGTCAACTTGCAAGGAGGTGGCATGAATAAGTTCTTGAAGAAGAAGGCGGGCAACCCATGCATAGTGGCATGTACATTCACTTCTTTTCCTACCATCCTCCTTCTGTTAAGAAAAGTGTCCTCGTCTCTCTCTTCCTCCGCGCTTTACGCATCAGCGACCCTCAGTTTCTTGATTCTGAAATTGCCTTTATCTACAAATCATTCTTTCGCCTTGGTTATCCTTTGCATTTCATCAACTGTGCCCACTCTCAAGCTAAACGAAATTTCTTTCATCCTAAACCTGCTTCCAACACTACTAGCACTGTACTATGCCTTCCCTTCATATCTGAACTCAAAACTTTTACCAATACCTTTCGTCCTCTTGACATTAAACTCGCCTTTCGACAAACTAACACACTTCGTAGCAATCTAGTTCACACTGCTCCTCCTGCTTCTAATGCTGCTGGTGTCTACTCTATTTCCTGTTCATCTTGTCCTCTCCAATACTTTGGCGAAACTGGCCGTACACTGAATGACAGACTTAAAGAACACAAGAGAAGTGTTAAGTCTGTAGACACTAACAATGCTCTCTTCTGCCATGTGAGGGATTCTAATCATCCCATTGATTGGTCTTCCTCCAAAATAATCTTTCCTGCCTCTACTCTACACAGACGCCGTCTTGTAGAATCGGCTCTAATACACAATATACCCAACATGAACTTGAGTCCTGGCTTTGTTGCTGTGGACTCTTCCCTTTCACAGTATATACTCAAATGCTCTAATCTTTCTAACAAACGTGACAAACATAAGCTTTTCCCCTTCCATTTCTTTCTTTCTCTTTCCTTTTCTTTCTCTCTTCTCCCTTTTTCTGTTCATTGTCTTCTCCTACGCTCCCTTGCTATCCTCTTCTTTTTCCTATTACTTCTCCTTCGGTGGTTATAATAGGAGCTGCCTCGTATAGGCCAATAGGCCTGCTGCAGTTTCCATTACTACTATCCCCTACACCTGACTTTCCTCCTCAGCTCTCTCTTGCCTATTTATTGCCTGTCCCTACCTCCTCATCACAATCGACTTGAGAATGGTCCAGGACGGACCGAAACGTCGTCGTTCCTTCAATTTCTAGTGTGTGGTCTGGTCAACATACTTCAGCCACGTTATTGTGACTCATCGCCTGCATTTGGTTTTATTGTAAATCGTCAATTGTATTTTCTGATTTTTGTCTGTAGGGATAACGTTCCTATCTACAATATCTTTCAGGACTCTTTTCTCCGTTTTATGAGCTGTGGAAAAGAAGTTCCTGTAAAATAGTCTAATAGGGGGTACATGTGTTAGTTGACTCTTCAGAGGTTGCATGACGTTTTACCTTTCTTTTTATGATGTCTTCAACGAAACCATTAGAGAAGCCGTTGTTGACTAGGACCTGCCTTACCCTACAGAGTTCTTCATCAACTTGCTTCCATCCTGAGCTGTGGCTGAGAGCACGGTCGACGTAAGCGTTGTTGTTGTGGAGCCCAACTACACAACAACAGTTGCCAAACTCCTGGGTGCCTATTTACTGGTAGTTGGACAGAGACATTAGATGAAAGGAAACGTGACAAATCTTTTCTGTTCCGCGGGGATTTGAACCCGGGATTACCGAGTGCAAGTCTAAAACGAGCCCAAGAGCTGAGGAAGAAAAGTGGCAGCACTACAACTAGCTACTACCACACCAACAATTACACCCATAATTTTTGGTTATTTAAAATCTGTTCTTCAGGCACTTTGCAACTTTTATATTATAGAAAGTAAGACTCATAATAGCAATTATCAATAACCTTCTCGCTGAACAAAAGGAATTTCTTGTAAGGATTCCTTCCCACACAAACATAACCCACCATAATGACACAGACATTGCCGCTAAATTAGCTTGCAATAATGATGGATTTGAACTAGTCCTGGCATTTCCAGTTCTGTTATCACCATTGCTCCCAACATACACACGCTCAAAGGCCTGAAAGCCTTCATGATTTGTTCAGATCTGAAACCTATGTTTATGGGCAGCATACATTGTCCACCAGACTGTGGGACACAGTGGTTGCCAGGATCAGGTTGGGTTACCGTTACCTGTGGCAGGTGGCTGCAGGTGACAGATCTCCCAATCCTGAGCACTCCAGGTACAAACTCTGTGAGCAGGAACTACGGCATGATCTCCCACACTACATCACCGAATGTACAAAGCTCTCCAAATGTTCTCACTAGAAAGGAGACGAGTTAGATCTCAAATAATATTCACGTAGAAGATACTGGAGGGCCAGGTCCCAAATTTACACACTAAAATAACATCATACTCGAGTGAACGATATGGAAGAAAATGCAGAATAGAACCGGTGAAGAGGAGAGGTGCCATAGGGACCATATACGGCAACTGAGAAGAGAACACTGTATAAACAGAGAACACTGTATAAACATCAGAGGTCCAGGGTTGTTCAACGTCCTCTCAGCGAGTATAAGAAATATTGCCGGAACAACCGTGGACATCTTCAAGAGAAGACTAGATAGTTTTCCTCATGAAGTGCCGGACCAACCGGGCTGTGGTGGATATGTAGGCCTACATAACCTACATAACCTACATACTCCTACGGATATGTAGGCCTAGGTTATGTAGGATATGTAGGAGCAGTTGATTTTCCCATCTTTAGTGCATGATTTAATTCCCATTCAGTTACATCATTAAGGTCCGACACGTCGATAGCTGTACAGGCAAGATTGATGGTTCGTTGTCTGTTGGGGCGTGTGTCATCAAGTTTGTGCTGTATGTTAATTGGGAGTGAGTCGTAGCTCGATGTTAGTGCCCATTGATCAAGGAGAATGCTTGCTTGTTCTAGTGGGCTGTGGTGCAGTGGTTTGATTGGGTTGCTTCTACAGATTTTTCGTATTTTTCCCCTAACTTCAGCAAGTATTGTTAGGTCATTTTTACTTTGTAGGAACTCAAAGTAAAGCTTATTACGTATAACGTTGCTCATGTCTCTCACCCTCTCTATTTGCAACTAGAAATGCATGCAAGTCACCTTGTGCTTTGGTTCGTTTGTACGTATCTCCGTACGTATCTCCTACATAACCTGCTTGGGATCTATTGATTTTGTAAATGCGCCCAAGAAAGATAGTGTGCACACTACATTATTAAAACAGTTAACACTGAAAATCATCACTGAAAGTACTCAGAGTATGGGTAACGATGTGTATCAGTGCTATACCGACGGCTCTGTAGAAGAAGGTGGACGATGTACCGGATGTGCATGTAACATATTTGAACAATCTTCTCTCGTACATACAGCAATGAAGCGCGTCAGTGACTGGGCAAGTACAACTCAAACAGAACTTGCAGGCATATACCTTGCCACTGAATTTTTAAAAGACAAAGGCAGTGGACTTATATACTGTGACTCGCAGAGTGCACTCCTGGCATTGAACGCACATAGTAGTGACACCCAGAAAATAGTCAGTGATATTCGAATGAATGTTTTAGCTGCTAAAGAAAACAGATTTAAAATTAAATTACTATGGATACCATCACATGTTGGCATCTCAAGGCATGACATTGTTGATATGCTTGCAAAGACAGCCTGTAGAAAACCAGTGGTAGAAGTTAATATGGGTGTTTCATTAGCAGTGACAAAGAGAATACTTAAACAAATATCTAATGAAAATCTCACCGACCTAACAAATTCTCAAAGACCTGAAAGTTGTAGCATTAAATATTATGATAGATATCGTGAGGAGACATTCACATATGGGACTAATAGGACAAGAACCCGGCAATGTGATGTTATAGTGGCCAGAATACGCCTGGGATATAGACGTATCTGGCAGCTTTCTCAAAACCCAAATGTCGAGTACACAATGTGTCAACTTTGTGAAAGAGAAAATATGCACTCTCTTGAACATTATATTGTAGAATGTCCCATACTGACTGACTTTCGCCCTCTTGGGCTAAGGTATGCTGAACTCTGTAATTACTATATGAGTACTGGAACACTTGATGATATATTGGACTTGTACCCAACTTGTACAACTTGCAATGATATATTGGACTTGTACCCAAGGTTGACCATGTTATGTATCAATTATACAATATATGTATGTGATGTAACTATATAACCTGAGCTTGTAAAAGCACCTTAATCACCTTCAGTGATTAAGTGCTTAATTGCACCCTAGTTTCTCTTTCAGCTATCTCACCCTGTCAGAGTTAAAGAGACAAATGTATGTGAATGCATGTGTGTGTGTATATATGTATGTATATATGTATGATGTATATATATGTGTGTGTGTATGTATATGTATAAATTATATATGGAAGCTGATCAGAATTACATTTCACCTTTGTAAATGCACATTAATGACACTATGTAAAAGACACATCAAACACTTTATGTAGGGCATACGTAAATCTGTGTATCTATGTATTTACGTATGTAGGTTAGCTTAGCATTTTAAAAGCACCGAATCACCTCCAGTGGTTGATTGTTCAATAAATCCCTGAACTATATGTTTAACACATCTCTCACCCTGTCCATGGAGGACAGAAGAAAATGTATATATTCAGCTTAGCATCGTGACTGTGTGGCCACGTCTGTGGTAGACAATAATAATAATAATAAACCCTCCAGTGACGCCATGATCCCGCAGTACAAACTAATCTCAAATACATTAAATAAAATTATATGAAAGGCTATCCTAATTAACATTTAAATTTACCTATACAAACCATTCATAAGGCAGTTTAATATATATAGTTTATGTTGCAGGAGGAGCGTGTGCCATGGTGGGACGGTGGCGGGTGCAGGTGTGAGGGGCGGGTGTGTGCCCACCAGGAGCCCCCGTCCCAGGGGTCCGTCGGGGTGGTGGGCGGCACGTGTGGGCGGCGAGCGTGGGCGGCAGGAGACGGGCAGAGGGTGGTGTCCTTCTCCCTGTACGGTGACAACCCGGAGTACTGGCTGGGCCTCAACGACACCCTGCAGCGGGTGAGACACGTCCACCTCTCACCCACACACCTCAGTCTCGTCCACACACCTGAGCCTCATCCACACACCTGAGCCTCATCCACACACCTGAGCCTCATCCACACACCTGAGCCTCATCCACACACCTGAGCCTCGTCTACACACCTGAGCCTCGTCTACACACCTGAGCCTCATCCACACACCTGAGCCTCATCCACACACCTGAGCCTCATCCACACACCTGAACCTCATCTACACACCTGAGCCACATCCACACACCTGAACCTCATCTACACACCTGAGCCACATCCACACACCTGAGCCACATCCACACACCTGAACCTCATGTACACACCTGAGCCACATCCACACACCTGAGCCACATCCACACACCTGAGCCACATCCACACACCTGAGCCACATCCACACACCTGAACCTCATCTACACACCTGAGCCACATCCACACACCTGAGCCTCGTCTACACACCTGAGCCTCGTCTACACACCTGAGCCTCGTCTACACACCTGAGCCTCGTCTACACACCTGAGCCTCATCCACACACCTGAGCCTCATCCACACACCTCAGCCTCATCCACACACCTGAGCCTCATCCACACACCTCAGCCTCATCCACACACCTGAGCCTCATCCACACACCTCAGCCTCATCCACACACCTGAACCTCATCTACACACCTGAGCCACATCCACACACCTGAGCCACATCCACACACCTGAACCTCATCTACACACCTGAGCCACATCCACACACCTGAGCCACATCCACACACCTGAACCTCATCTACACACCTGAGCCACATCCACACACCTGAGCCACATCCACACACCTGAACCTCATCTACACACCTGAGCCACATCCACACACCTGAGCCACATCCACACACCTGAACCTCATCTACACACCTGAGCCACATCCACACACCTGAGCCACATCCACACACCTGAACCTCATCTACACACCTGAGCCACATCCACACACCTGAGCCACATCCACACACCTGAACCTCATCTACACACCTGAGCCACATCCACACACCTGAGCCACATCCACACACCTGAGCCTCGTCTACACACCTGAGCCTCGTCTACACACCTGAGCCTCGTCTACACACCTGAGCCTCATCCACACACCTGAGCCTCATCCACACACCTCAGCCTCATCCACACACCTGAGCCTCATCCACACACCTCAGCCTCATCCACACACCTGAGCCTCATCCACACACCTCAGCCTCATCCACACACCTGAACCTCATCTACACACCTGAGCCACATCCACACACCTGAGCCACATCCACACACCTGAACCTCATCTACACACCTGAGCCACATCCACACACCTGAGCCACACACACCTGAACCACACACCTGAACCACATCCACACACCTGAGCCACATCCACACACCTGAGCCACATCCACACACCTGAACCTCATCTACACACCTGAGCCACATCCACACACCTGAGCCACATCCACACACCTGAACCTCATCTACACACCTGAGCCTCATCCACACACCTGAGCCTCATCCATACTCAGCCAACACAGCTGGATCTATAGTTTAACAAACGCGTGTTTCCGTATAAAGAACCAATCCTTCACTTGTGCTGGGTAAAGCATTACACATTTCTCTCTCGCCTGACGCTCATGGTGAAAAACTTCCACTTTCTGCAGCCCAACTCAAGCCAACTTTCCAAATATTTTCCCCAACCTGGCCAGAAGGTCCTGTACATTACATGCATGTTAGTCTTGCCACTACTGCCTCTACTCCAGCCCGGACACGAGTCCTGTGGAACGTGGCCTCACCACCCGCCGGATGCTGCAAGATGGCCACTGTGCTGGAGACCCGTTCTCGCAAATTCGTAAAGTCAATATTGACTTATTAACTACGTGCATAGGTGATATACTAAACATAATAGATACCCTTAAAAAGATTCATAGAAAACACCAACCTTACCTAACCTTGTTAGTATCTTAAGATAAGTATCTTATTGCTTCGTAATTACAATTATTACTTAACCTATACCTATTATAGGTTAGGTAATAATTGTAATTACGAAGCAATAAGATGCTTATCTTAACATACTAAGTAGGTTAGGTAAGGTCGGTGTTTTCTATGAATCTTTTAAAGGGTATCTATTATGTTAAGTATGTCACCTATGCACATATTTAATAAGTCAATATTGACTTATTAAATTTGCGAGAACGGGTTGGTGCTGGAGACCTTGAGATACACAGCTGTGCTGGATGCTCTCAACACACACACATGATACCTTTCACTCGTGCTTCCTTTCCACAGACCAGCACATAGCTGGTGTGTGCTGTGGAAAGCACACTTTCCACAGAACAACATATGACCAGCATGTTATATCCTGATATAAAGCAACGATGTCCAACATGCCTCCAAAATATTAGTGTCCAGTAATATATGTGAGCAGTAGGAGTGCTCCATATGTGGGGGTGTCAAGAGTATTACGACACGACACATGTTAACTTTGTCCATCATCATGCCAATAGCCTCGTTCACAGACACGTTGGTGAACAAGGACTCCTCCACAGACACAGACACAGACATGGACATGTTAGTAAACAAGGACTCCTCCACAGACACAGACACAGACATGTTAGTGAACAAGGACTCCTCCACAGACACAGACACAGACATGTTAGTGAACAAGGACTCCTCCACAGACACAGACACAGACACGGACATGTTAGTGAACAAGGACTCCTCCACAGACACAGACATGTTAGTGAACAAGGACTCCTCCACAGACACAGACACAGACACGGACATGTTAGTGAACAAGGACTCCTCCACAGACACAGACACAGACACAGACACGGACACGTTAGTGAACAGGGACTCCTCCACAGACACAGACACGGACATGTTAGTGAACAAGGACTCCTCCACAGACACAGACACAGACACGGACATGTTAGTGAACAAGGACTCCTCCACAGACACAGACACAGACACAGACACGGACATGTTAGTGAACAAGGACTCCTCCACAGACACAGACACAGACACGGACATGTTAGTGAACAAGGACTCCTCCACAGACACAGACTCAGACACGGACATGTTAGTGAACAAGGACTCCTCCACAGACACAGACACAGACACGGACATGTTAGTGAACAAGGACTCCTCCACAGACACAGACACAGACACGGACATGTTAGTGAACAAGGACTCCTCCACAGACACAGACACAGACACAGACATGTTAGTGAACAAGGACTCCTCCACAGACACAGACACAGACATGTTAGTGAACAAGGACTCCTCCACAGACACAGACACAGACATGTTAGTGAACAAGGACTCCTCCACAGACACAGACACAGACATGTTAGTGAACAAGGACTCCTCCACAGACACAGACACAGACACAGGCATGTTAGTAAACAAGGACTCCTCCACAGACACAGACACAGACACAGACATGTTAGTAAACAAGGACTCCTCCACAGACACAGACACAGACACGGACATGTTAGTAAACAAGGACTCCTCCACAGACACAGACACAGACATGTTAGTAAACAAGGACTCCTCCACAGACACAGACACAGACATGTTAGTGAACAAGGACTCCTCCACAGACACAGACACAGACATGTTAGTGAACAAGGACTCCTACAGACACAGACACAGACATGAACAAGGACTCCTCCACAGACACAGACACAGACATGTTAGTGAACAAGGACTCCTCCACAGACACAGACACAGACATGTTAGTAAACAAGGACTCCTCCACAGACACAGACACAGACACAGACATGTTAGTAAACAAGGACTCCTCCACAGACACAGACACAGACATGTTAGTAAACAAGGACTCCTCCACAGACACAGACACAGACATGTTAGTAAACAAGGACTCCTCCACAGACACAGACACAGACACAGACATGTTAGTGAACAAGGACTCCTCCACAGACACAGACACAGACACAGACATGTTAGTAAACAAGGACTCCTCCACAGACACAGACACAGACACAGACATGTTAGTAAACAAGGACTCCTCCACAGACACAGACACAGACAGTAGTAAACAAGGACTCCTCCACAGACACAGACACAGACATGTTAGTGAACAAGGACTCCTCCACAGACACAGACACAGACATGTTAGTGAACAAGGACTCCTCCACAGACACAGACACAGACACAGACATGTTAGTGAACAAGGACTCCTCCACAGACACAGACAGACACAGACATGTTAGTAAACAAGGACTCCTCCACAGACACAGACACAGACACAGACACAGACATGTTAGTAAACAAGGACTCCTCCACAGACACAGACACAGACACAGACATGTTAGTGAACAAGGACTCCTCCACAGACACAGACACAGACATGTTAGTGAACAAGGACTCCTCCACAGACACAGACACAGACACAGACATGTTAGTGAACAAGGACTCCTCCACAGACACAGACAGACACAGACATGTTAGTAAACAAGGACTCCTCCACAGACACAGACACAGACACAGACACAGACATGTTAGTAAACAAGGACTCCTCCACAGACACAGACACAGACATGTTAGTGAACATGGACTCCACAGACACAGACACAGACATGTTAGTGAACAAGGACTCCTCCACAGACACAGACACAGACACGGACATGTTAGTGAACAAGGACTCCTCCACAGACACAGACACAGACACGGACATGTTAGTGAACAAGGACTCCTCCACAGACACAGACACAGACACAGACATGTTAGTGAACAAGGACTCCTCCACAGACACAGACACAGACACGGACATGTTAGTGAACAAGGACTCCTCCACAGACACAGACACAGACACGGACATGTTAGTGAACAAGGACTCCTCCACAGACACAGACACAGACACAGACATGTTAGTGAACAAGGACTCCTCCACAGACACAGACACAGACACAGACATGTTAGTGAACAAGGACTCCTCCACAGACACAGACACAGACACAGA